TTTTTTTTTTTAGTTGTTGCAGTTTGACTGGGGCTGAGTTTGAACCTGCCACCCTCGGCATATGCGGCCAGTGCCATATCCACTGAGCCACAGGCACTGCCGGATTTAAGATAATTTCTAATTAAACATCACCATTGTGGGCATAGAAGACAAGCTAACTATAATAAATATCTGTATTTCATTCACTAAGTATAAGGCATAAGTCTAGAGTTCTAATACTTTCATATACTCCCAAGGAAGAGCTACCTGCCTTGGGTTTGGGAAAACCCAACTGCTGTAGACAAAGGAAAAGCTAGAGTTACAGTATGCAAAATAAATTAATACATACATAAATAAAAACAAAAGTTTAAGTTGATATTCTCAAGTAATCCCTTTTCCTATTTCTATACAGGCTTTTGTCCCTCAGTCTACAGAGCTTTTGACTTCTTTTCTCTTATAAGGATTTCCTCGATTTTAATTCTGTAGAAATATAGCAAAAGCAGGACAGTATACACTATGTACGTGAAAGGACTTTAAGAAACTAACAGATTGGAAACTCAATGACAGTTTTTTCATGTATGTTACCTCATATGATCCCTAATTTTATTGCATAATTGTGCATCTCTGGTTAAGTCACGTAGTCTTTCTGTATCTCATTAGCAACATATATGCACCTAAACTATATTTTCTATTTTGAAAAGGCAACGTGAAGTTTTATAAACAAGAGAACTATATTATCTAGAAGCATAATTAACAATCTCATAAGAACAATGGCAGAAGAGAATTGATCACTTCGTAAATTGGAAAACTTGATAAATAGGCAAAAAATGCATTTAGATAAAATTCCTATTTACAAAGTAGACACAGCTCCAGACTCTTGAGGCCGGATTTAGTCTCAAGCCAAAAGTAAAGTTCTCTGCTTAAAGCAGCGATTCTCAACCTGTGGGTCACGACCCCTTTGTGACAATGAAAATACATCGCGGCATTAGGAAGGTTGAGAACCACTGGCTTAAAGTAAAACAAAAAGCCCCATAACCTACGTACATTATTCTTTTCTAATCTTTTTAAAAATCTGAACTGATTTAACCAATCATATCCAAGTGTTCAAATGAATCCCCAAACCAGACAGGTTTGTCTGTTTAGTTAACAAAGAGTGAGGGAAAAAAATAACCAATTTTGTTTCCATCTGACAAGGTAAAAAAATACAGGGTATGTATAAAAGGGACTTGCATAATTTTATTTGTATTCTGTCCAAATGTAGCAATTTTTACTTTTACATATAGGTTTACCAAAACATAATAAGAAATTTATAGCCACACTGTAGTTGAAATACAATATTTTAATATATAATCCCCCCAAAATTCAAAGGAAAAAAAGAAGCCTCTATTGAAAAACAGAGCATAACACATGCACAGCAAGATAATTATTTCTCAGCTGTTTAACCATTTAACAAAAAAAGTTAGCTCTAATTTGTTTAGCCTTCCTTCAGAGGAAAGAAAACAGTATTTTTCAAATTTAGCTCAAAAGCCAAGGTAACTTTACATTAGCTGTCCTTTAAATCAAAATGATAACACATGCTTCTTGATGGCAAAAAACCAAAAAGAGAAAAAAAATTTCCTTTAACAAAGGACAGGACTCATTTTTTGTCTAAGTAATTTAGTATAAAAATATTAGAAAAATAAATCCATCAAAAGAAGATTCTGGACAGGATCACTCACAAACAATATTAAAATCTACAGTCCCTAATTAAAAAGCACCTCAATAACAAAAACGCCCCACTATCATTCAACTCATTCCAATGTGGATATCAGAAACAGATTAAAATTCACTAGTAGATTCCAAACCTGTTTTGATTTAAAGACTTGTTCAAAGTCTTCAACACCTAGGAAAGGCACCAATGGGCCAGTGAGTCTTACCCGACATTTCACATTATCTACCCAATCCCACACAGGGGTCCTCAAGAGCAGGGGCTACAACATAATCCACAGTTACACAAGGTAACTAGTCTCTGAATAACTGTCCTCAACAGCTTCCAAACAGTGAGAAAACATTTATAATAACATTAAAACATATGGCTAACTACACAAGCAATTTTGTTTGGTTTTTTATTTGTTAGCTGCATAATATAAAAGTTCAAAGGAAGAGAATCATTAGCCTCCTTCTTCACTAGATCCCAGTCCTGAAAACCAATAAAAATATTCTACAAGGACAACTTAAAACATTTGGAATCATCCTTTCATCTTCGCTTTTGCCTAAAATATACTTAAAGAATATTTTTATGTCTTGATCAAAAATACACATTACCAACACAGTGAATCACCACATTTTAAAATGTTTTCCAGATTGGAATTCTGTTTTTTATGTACTTGGCCTTTGTATCCTTCAGATAAAAAACTATGTTATTGCGATTGCAGGGTGTATAAAACTCAGGTGATGAGGGTCTCTGTCATTTTCTCTTAATCCAACTCCAAACTCGACCTTTACCCAGCGAACAGGTGTGTGCTGTGTCTGTAATTTATCAGAGTGAGCGACCAGGCAGAAAAGCTAGCAACAATAGGAGGCTAACACAAGCCAGGCACTTAGTGCCTAGAAAGCAGTGCTTAGCCCCACCATGATGAATATACTTTTATCTTCTAGTAGCAATTTAAAGATAAAGAGTGATGGGGATGATGGGAATAATATATTCATACTCCTGCCATTTTTTATGAATACTGTTTTTACACTAATAATCTGCCAGAAGCTGTTAGGTTTTAAATTCCTTTCTCAGATAGATATGCTGTTGCTCACATTCCAATCCTACGTATGATATGGATATGAAAACAGTCGTGACAACATTTCCACTGGGCAAATAAAGCCATTTCACACAGGAAAGTAATAAATGAGTATAGCATTTCTTTATGTGTAACATGGAAACTTCTCTATGTATTCCACATTTGTCTTTATAGATTAAATTTATCTTATTTAAAAACATACCAGGTATCCATTTACTAGGTACAAAGATGTACTACTAACTGGGTAATGAAATGTTAGAGTAAAAATGAGCAGTAGCTAATATCGAAACGATGCCCATAGTCCAATAGATAACTATTATTCAGCAGGGTAAATCTGACCCATAGTGGAGCTTTAGATGTTTTAGGTGAAATTTTTTTTAGCTTTAGATGTTTTAGGTGAGATGTTTTAGTATGTCCTATTGGAAAATATTCTTAAATAAATAAATAAAATGGAGCAACCACAGTAGTAATTCTACATCTTCTTTATAAAATTAAAATGTAATTTTAAAAGCTCTAACATTTTGAAGGTTTTTCAGAAAATGTATCTTTTTTTAAAGTTAAAACAGAAAAATACTTCAGTAAGTCTGAAAAATAATTCCAAAGCTATCAAAAAGATTCTTCATCACATTAACTTTTTTTTTTTAACAATACAAGATTTTATCACATTTTTCTTTTTAAACTTACCCATCTGCTCTACAATCTCTGGAGGAAATACTCGGGAAGCAAAAGCTCTTCGAAAAATGTCTGAAAATTCCTTGTCCAGACCTCCTATTCCCATTTTTTCAAAGTTCCAGTCAGGATTAATGATAGATTGGCGGTTTTCCTTGGTTTTAGCTTTGCCTGTGTCAAACAAATACAGTTAAATGTGAAATAAGGACTTCATCACTAACTATGAAAAGACAGAACTCCCTGGGTAGCCTAAATGAATAAAAAGAAGCTATCCCTATACAAAGATCAACAATATACTCTTAGTTGATTTTCTAACAAGAAGGGTTAAGTTTTGTTACCCACTTTGGTCCCCATTTATGGTTAGTAATATACTTTTAAAATAAATAGTTAACTTATGCTGTAATCTACCGGTAATCAATCAATAGAACTCGGTTGCAATAACCTTTAAGCTAACCAAATGAATTAATTTGTTTGATTAGAACAAACACCAAGTGCATATATCTGATGAAGACAATACTAGCTGACAGAAATGCAACTGAAATCTGTCTCTGAAGGCTTCTGATGCAAGAGTATTTAAAAATACACATATTTATGTAGATTAATTTGTACAGGTGACTAGGTGTATAAACCCTCAGCCTAAGAAGACGGACCTAGTAAGTTTGATGTCTTATTTGCTTTTTCTTCACTTATGCACAAAGGTCTAAAATCATTCTAAAGACTTCAATGATTACAAATTCATTGTTTACCAATTCTTTCACAGGGATAAAAATTATCTACAGTCCAATAGATAGTTATTATTTAGCAGGGTAAACCTGCTAAAGGTTTACCTTTAGTGGAGGACCCATAGTGGAGCTTTAGACTGACATTATAAAATTTAAATGTCAGAGTGCCACCTAAAGTCACTGAAGAGAACCACATTTACTATTTCAAACAGAATTAATTACCTCAGCATACTTTACTATAAACAAAATAACAAAGTAATAATATGATCTTTATAAAATCAGGGAAGAAAATTTTGTATAAAAAAAGTTTACCCTAGGAAATGATAAATATTTGAGGTGATAGGTGTGTTAATTAGCCCGATTCGATCATTCCACAATGTATGTACATGTATCAAAACATCAAGAAGTACTCCATAGTGGGTAATTACTATTTGTCAATTAAAAATTAAATTAAATTTTAAAAAAGTTTGTCCTAGATGGCAATTTTATGGGTAGAATTTTGAGGCCTTAAGATTTCTGTTAGGAAGCTATCAAAAATATTCTTCTTAGACTCTACTGTCCTCTTGTGGCCAAATTTTATTGCATGCCAAATTACTATGCAATTTTATTTTGCACTGAAAATCACACTTTTGCATAGATTACTTAGAAATACCTACAATATTTAGAAGTTATACAACTCCCTTGGGATAATATGTGTTAACACAAAGTCCACAAGGCCAGGCATGGTGGCTCACGTTGGTAATCCCAGCACTCTGGGAGGCTGAGGCGGGTGGATTGCCTGAGTTCACAAGTTCGAGACTAGCCTGAGCAAGAGAGAGATCCCTTCTCTAGCTGGGCACTGTGGCAGGCACCTGTAGTCCCAGCTACTCTGGAAGCTGAGCCAAGAGAATCACTTAAGCCCAAGAGTTTGAGGTTGCTATGAGCTGTGACACCACAGCACTCTACTGAGGGCGACATAGTGAGACTCTGTCTCAAAAACAAAAAATAAAGTACACAAAAATAAAATACAAAAAACTCATTTCATAAATTATTGGATCAATAATTGGGAGATTATAATATGTCCTATGTCCATAAAAGTCACATATATAGACATTAAAAATCATGTAGGAGTATATTTAAAATGCTTAAAATATGTTAAGCAAAACAAATCAAGTTATATAATAAAATTGTATAAAACAGAATCATCAAATTTTAGAGTTGTTTGAGAGCCTATCAATATTTTGTCAGGAAAAATGGTAATTTATGGACTAAAAAGAAAGCCACACATTAAAAGAATGTTAAGTAACCTTGGACATGATGGTGTGCAACCAAGGAAAACTCTATTTTCTATTAGGGTAGATATCAACATAGTTAAATCAATCAAAACTTAGAATTACCTTCCAGTTAATGGCACCATTATTCAAGCGAGTTACTAATATTAGAGACCAAGTTGCATTGTTTTAATATAATAAAAATAAGAAAGTACAAGAGTAGGACTAAACTGTGAATCTGTTAGAAAAATTTTACCTGTATGTTCATCACTTAACTCAATCACTAATAGAATTGATGATAGTATCTTAAAGCAGGTGAGGAGCATTCTACAAAATAACTAACCAGTTCTTAAAAGTCATAGAAGATAATAAAAGTCTAGGGAACCTTCAGAGACTGGAGACTAAAAACAGATTAACTAAATGCAATGTGAGTTACCAAATCAGATACTGGATCAAAAAAGGACATAATGGAAAAACTGGTAAAATTAGAATAAAGCCTGCAGTCTAGTTAGTAGCAATGAAACCATGTTTCATTTCTTAGTTTTGATAATTATACTACGGTCATATAAGATGTTTAACATCAGGGGAAGCTGGTGAAGGCATACCGAAAAGTCAGTGAGCTACCTTTGTAAATCTTTTGTTAACCTAAAATTACCTTAAAATGAAGAGTTAAAAAGATAATTTGTTTCTTTTTATTTATTTTTAGTGTAGCTACTAGGAAATTAGAAATTATATATGTGGCACACCTTCTATTTCTATCAGACAGTGATAATCCAGATGTAAGGCTTTAAACTTTTCATCAGTAAGTCTGACAAAGAGGAGATTCCCTATGATTCTGTGATATGTCCTCTCAAGGAAGGTGCCCCTCTTCTCCTTACTTACTTGAAAATCACTATACATGAGTCACATATAATAATATAGTCCCATTTCATTCAGAATCTTCTAAAAATTGTAAATCTTACCAATAAGATTGAGTGATGAATTTTCTGCTTTTTCAAATGCAACTTGACTGTTTCCAACAACCAGTCCTACCTCAATCTGTATAGAAAGACAGCAATTAGTCGTCTAACAGCAGACTTCTGGACTTTTTTTTTTTTTTTGAGACAGATTCTCACTATGTCACCCTTGGTAGAGTGCTGTGGTGTCACAGCTCACAGCAACCTCAAACTCTTGGGCTTAAGCAATTCTCTTTGCCTCAGCCTCCCAAGTAGCTGCGACTACAGGCACCCACCACAATGCCCAGCTATTTTTTTGTTGCAGTTGTTTAACTGGCCCAAGCCAGGCTCGAACCCGCCACCCTTGGTGTATGTGGCTGGTACTGTAACCACTGTGCTACAGGCACCGAGCCAGACTTCTGGACTTCTAAAAGCAAGGCCAAAAGTGAAGTGAAAATGAGGTCACTATATGCAAAGCAAATCTTCCAAAATATCACCTGAGTCATATTTACTTTTCTTATAACTACCTTTTAAAATTCCTATGAGGTTTATTTCAATACCTATACATTTATCTTTCCAATTAACACCTTTCCTAATATTTATTTACAATAAGTACCTACATTTAACCAAAATTAAATACAGCATACCTTCTGCCTTTTACCTGTTGCAGGCTCTCCCTTCAAGATGCTAGGGTCCATGGCTTCAATGTCCTTCACCAGTAGGCCAAAAAGCTTTTCATTGAAGCTGAACACAAGCTATGTAAAAAAGAGGTTAAGAGTATTTCTCAAGAATGGAAAAAAAAGTATCCAATGTACTCAATACTATTACGAAGCCAATATATAGTCACCTACACATCCATACGAATGATAAAACACAAGGATAGCCAGAAAGAAAGATAGGAGAGGAAAAGGAGGGGAGGGGGAAGAGCGAGTGCAGGGAGGAGGGAGGGCGTTGGGTGGGATCTCACCTAATGTGCACAATGCAGGGACACACTTCAAAACAACTAAGAATAAATCATAAGTGTCTTAACAAAAAATAAGTAAGTGGGGTGATGGTTATGTTAATCAGTTTAAGCATCCACATTATATATCAAATCATCACATTGTACCCAATAAATGTACAGTTATGATTTAATAACAAATTAAATGAAAAAAAAAGAGGTCAGAGGAAGGAAAAAAAAATCACTTCATGATATAATGGCATGATTCTCATCATTACCCACGTTTTTCAGATACAGAAAACCAATTTTCTCTTTTTTTTTTTTTTTTTTGAGACAGAGCCTCAAGCTGTCCCCCTGGGCAGAGTGTCGTGGCATTACAGCTCATAGCAACCTCCAACTCCTGGGCTCAAGCGAGTCTCCTGCCCCCGCCCCCCAAGTAGCTGGGACTACAGGTGCCCGCCACAACGCCTGGCTATTTTTTGGTTGCAGCCGTCATTGCTGTTTGGTGGGTCCGGGCTGGGGATTCAAACCCGCCACCTTAGGTGTATGTGGCTGGCGCCTTAGCCGGTTGAGCTATAGGCGCTGAGCCCAATTTTCTCTTTTAAACCCCTCTCCATCTGCTCCACGGACGAATTAGAGCCAATAAGAATAAAAGAGAGCTAACATTTATGATCTCCTACATACCAACACTACAGGCAGTTAGCTTATATGGTTAATATTCACAAACCCTCTTGGAAACAGAAATTATTACTCCATTTTACTAGTGAGGAGACTGAGTTTCCTGAAAGAAGCTAAGCAATGGTACTCAGAGGAACAGTAAATGATAATAAATGCCAGGAGTCTAGCCTTGGTCTGTGACTCTAAAATTGATCCTTCTCTACATAGTATAACCAGTATAAAACGCCTGCTATATGAGTGCAGAAACACCTTCTGAACATCCAGTCACTCATTCACCACATATTTACTGAGTGCCTCCTATAAGCTCAGCCCTTGTCTGTGTGCTGGGGTACAGCAGTAAATACACAGGTGGGGCTGCCTCTCCATCCTGCCCACTACTATCTACTACAAATGAAAATAAATGGGAAGAACAGTGATGTGGGGTAAGATATTTATTTCTTCTCTGCATTATGATGAGTTTTCTTTCATGGCTTTATTGATATCTGTATGTTACTATTTGTCATTAGGTTTAAAACTACTACAAATACCAAAGCATTTTCTATTAAACATTTTTCTAAGGATTTACTATTTTTTTTTTTTTTTTTGAGACGGAGCCTCAAGCTATCCCCCTGGGTAGAGTGCCATGGCATCACAGCTCACAGCAACCTCCAACTCCTGGGCTCAAGCGAGTCTCCTGCCTCAGCCTCCCAAGTCACTGGGACTACAGGCACCCGCCACAACGCCTGGCCATTGTTTGGTTGCAGCCATCATTGTTGTTTGGCAGGCCCGGGTTGGGGATTCAAACCCGCCACCTTAGGTGTATGTGGCTGGCGCCTTAGCCGCTTGAGCCACAGGCGCCGAGCCTAAGGATTTACAATTAAGATAGTAAAGCTAAAGGCAAAGGTAAAAATAATTAAGTTTAGTTAGGCAATCTCTGCATGATTAGTCAAAAAATACATGAATGCAGAAGAAACATAGCATAGTCCAAAAAGCAAAAGACAGGTAGTCAACAAATTATCATCTAAATGTCATCTTGAGTAGCCTCCCTGGACCACTCAATGCAAAACACTAGTAACGCTCTAGTGCAGCATCCTGGTTTACTGACATCAGAGTATTTAATAACTGTACATGGCATTTCTGTTTTATATTCTGTATTCCTCAAGTAGAAAGGAAACTCTGTAAGAGTATAGCTCATATCTACTTTGTAGGCGGGTCAGTAGTGGCTAAAATAGTGGCTGAAACATACTAGGTACTATTAAACATTTGTTTAATTAATCGTTGTCTCAGTTATGTCCCTGGCTGTGTGGCCATGGGCACATCATTTGCCTTCTCTAGACCTAAAAATACCTCATTTGTAAATGAGAAGGTTAGACACAGTTTTCTTAAAATTCTCAAATAAGTCCATAACCTAAAACATTTCAGAACTACTTTTGTATAGAACTACATTAGTGAAAGAAAAGGACATTCCAGAGACCAAATGTCCCACAATAAGAAAAGAAATTTCAGATATATATGTCTGTAGTATTCCCAAATTTGCAAAGGGAAAAGGTTCTATCATTATATAGGACTTTTTTTTGGGGTGGGGGAGAGAGTCTCACTCTCTTGCCCTGGGTAGAGTGTTATGGTATCACCATAGCTCATGGCAACCTCAAATTCTTGGGTTCAAGTGATCCTCCTGCCTCAGTTTTCTGAGTAGCTGGGACTATAGGTACCTCCTACAACACCTGGCTAGTTTTTCTATTTTTAGTACAAATGGGGTCTTGCTTTTGCTCAGGCTGGTCTCCAACTCCTGAGCTCGAGCAATCCAGCAGCCTTGGCCTCCTAGAGTGCTAGAATTACAGGCCTGAGCCATCGCGCCCAGCCTACATAAGACATTTTAACCTAGGTACTTCACAATATTTCTGAACAGCCTCCTAGAGGTTCAGTAAACAAACTATCTTGCTTTTTATTGCTCATTTTGGATATACGTGTAGTTACACAAAGCTTTGCTCATTTTTTAAAAAGCAGACATAATTTTGATACAAATAGGGATTAGAATACCTATAAAGTTAGTGGAATAGAAGAAAATTTAAAACTACCTGTTGTCCCACTGAGAAGGCCTGATTGTTGAACTGCTGAATAAATTCTGCGGCCATCTTATCAGTGTCATAAGGGTTGGAGTCAATGTTCTTTTTCTGCAGGAAATCAATCTCGATGGTCATTGTGCCAATACATTGTTTGGCTTTGTCGAATGTATATAAGGAAACTAAGAAGAAAAGAGAAGCATTTTTGAAAATGACAAGGACATCAAATACTTGTCATTCTAATAACTACAGGTTTCACATAAATGAATCATAAGAGAATTTGATGAGCTGGGGGCTTACCTGGAATTCACTGGAGGAACACATAGGCAAAGATTTAAAAATATTAATAACCACTAGAAATGTTCTTCCCCATTTTAATTAATCAGAAAATGCTAGACAGCACTCTCTCTCTGCTATTACCCCCCACCCCATGCTTATGGGGAAATCATAATATTACGACATGGCTTGTGCATCTTCCCCCTTCTCATTCAACAAAGGACAAAATGACAGCAGGGAAGCTGGCATAGCATGCTGTTCCCAAACAGATTTTGGTTTGACATAAGAAAGAGCTCAGGTGAAAGGTAGGTAAATTCTTTTGCCCTAGAAAGTAGGATGCAGGGGTGAAGGGGAAAGTCTTGAGAAACATGTTTACTAGGGGAATTTGCTCCAGACCAAGTTAAAGTTTAAAATTCCTTTTTTACTACTACTAAAAATATTTACTGACAAACTAATACAGGCTCTTTGGAAAGAAGTATGGGGAATCCTTAAAGAACTCAAAATAGACCTTGTACTTGATCCCATAATCCTATTACTAGGCATCTACCCAGAAGAAAAAAAATAATTTTATCATAAGGACATTTGCACTTTTTACTGCAACTCAATTTACAATCACCAAGATGTGGAACAACCTAAGTGCCTATCAACCCATGAATGGATTAATAAACTGGTATATGTATACCTTGGAATACTATTCAGCCATAAAAAGATGTCAACTTTACATCTTTTGTATTAATCTAGACGTAGCTAAAATACATTCTTCCTAGTAAAGTATTACAAGAATAGAAAAGTAAGTATCCAATGTACTCAATACTAATATGAAGCCAGTAGATGAACTACACACCCACACAAGAGAAAAGCTCAATTTAATTAAAGTTGGGGGAGGGAAGAAGAGGGGATGCGGAAAGCGGGGAGGGATTGGTGTGCTCCCACCTAATGGGCACAATGTAAGGGTATATGGCACGCAGGACCCAACTAAAGAGGGACTTTTAGGCTGGGCGCAGTGGCTCACGCCTATAATCCCAACACTCTGGGAGGCCGAGGCAGGTGGAGTGCCTGAGCTCCCAGGTTGGAGATCAGCCTGAGCCAGAGCAAGACCTTGTCTCTAAAACAGCTGGGCACTGTGGCAGGAGCCTGTTGACCCAGCTACTCAGGAAGCTGAGGCAAGAGAATTGCTTGAGCCCAAGAGTTTGAAGTTGCTGAGAGCTATGACACCACAGCACTCTACCAAGGGCGACGAAGTAAAATTCTGTCTCCAAAAAAATTTTTTAAATTTTAAAATTAACAATAAATAAATAAGTAAATAAATAAAGAGGGACTTTATCTAAGAAATGCAAATATTATAACCTAATCATTTGTACCCTCATATGAGTCTGAAATTTAAAAAAAAAGAAGAAAAAATATATATATTTACTGAGGGCCTAACCTGTCTAAGGAACCAAAGTAAGTTCCACATGGAATGTATGTGGAACCAGGCAAGAACAAGGTTTTTAATTCCTATTAACAGGATTTAACAGCGTATTTTAGGTGGCTAAAAAAATTCATGATCTATGGGCAGCACCTGTGGCTCAAGGAGAAGAGCACCGGCCCCATATACCAGGGGTGGTGGGTTCAAGCCCGGCCCTAGCCAAAACTGCAAAAAATAATAATAATAAATTCATGATATATTTAAATGAAACAAAACCAAAAAACTCTATGACTTCCATGCTAATAACAAAGGAGGCAAAGAAAACATATACATTAATATAAAACTCTGGGTAAGAAAATTCCTGTTGAAGCCACAAGAAAAGTTCAAAAATTGTTTTTATGCTACAATATCATAAATTTAAATATCGAAATATTACACTTAATTTTATATCAGGTAATAACCATTTAATAAAAAAACTTTATAGTACAGCTACAGCAAAGATTATTTTGAGAAAAATAGGTATTAAATAGGTATTAAAAGATATTTTCTTAATGACATGTAATTACCAAGAAGCATTTCCATAGGAAAATTCTGACTCTTAAATCAGCAGGAAAAGCCCATTTATAAATGACAGCTGATACATAAACCTTTAATGCAAAAATATTACATTGCAGTAATTGTATTGGGACCATTATGAAAGAATACAGTAAGATACTCAATAAAGTTTAAGAGAATTTTTGCATTTGAGTTTCCCCAACAGGAAAACCTGACTGTACCCAGTAAAAAAGTCTACCATTGCTATTCAACAAGGTTTAATGCATGTATAGTTTCCTTTTGTGTTCCCAGAAGATAATCGTCCAAAATTTGCCCATGGCCCCTTTAGAACACAGCAGAAACTCTCTCAAGCACCCTCCACTGAGCTGACTCACCAGAATATTGAGCAACTTTTATCCCTCTGATATATACCAACCTGCCTATGGCTTGCCTCACGTTCAGAGCTTGTAGGCTCTTCATGCACCATTGGAGTTGTGACACATCATGGATCAATAGCTTGTTCTCTCATCTGCTAGTTAGTGCTCGTTATACTTATTACAGTAATTATGCAATACAATTAAATATTATAAAACTATTGAAATTTTGACATTCTAGAAGTGATATTATAAAACTAAGTTGAAAGCTTTGGAAAAACTTACAAAAGGAAGAGTTTCTTCTAAAAAAAATACTGTTAAAATATATAGGAGCAAGAACATTAGAAAAAGTGAAATCCACGAAAATCCAAAAGATTCTTTATTTTCAAATACTTCACAAGTTCTAAGTCAGGCGTCCTCAAACTATGGCCCACGGGCCACATGCAGCCTGCCTAGGACATTTATCTGGCCCACCAGGTGTTTTTGCTGCCACTGCCTGTTCTGCTTAGCAGCCGACTCGTCCTGGGGCCTGCAGTCCGGCCCTCCAACAGTCTGAGAGACAGTGAACTGACCCCCTGTTTAAAAAGTCTGAGGACCCCTGTCTAAGTTCTCCATCCATTTCAAAGAGACCCATGTAAAAACTATTGGTAAAGTTTATCCACAAAAGATAATACAGAATTCTACTATATGGAAAACAAAACCCTCAAGAAAAGGCTTTTAACCAACTTTTCAATTAACTAGCAGTCCTAGTCACTCTGGATAAGGGGGCTCCTATAGTTCTCACAAAAGCACATAATTGAAAAGAGATTGGTTTTTCACAGTTGCTTTGAAAAAGAGGCATGGTGCTTTTCTGAGTTGCTGTGGTCAAATAGCAAGAAGCTAAGCAAACAAATAAAAAAAAATCATTGTAGTGTAGCTTTTAGCTGATTAGTATTAAATGTCCGTTGCAAAGATTCCAGGTACAAACAAAGCTATTCTCTTCAAAGAGATTTTGAGTCTGTGTGTTTCAACAGATTCAGTGAGTACCTGTTGTCACTGAAATTTCCTGCACCTTGAGTTGTCACATCTATAAATCAAGAACTCTGGACTAGATAAGTCTTTGTGATTTCATACTCCTGTTCTAAACTTATTACTTATATTCTAGTCACTTGAGTTATATATTATACAAAGATTTTCTGTAAATTATCTAAATGAAATTGCTTGTCTAACCATATTTTTATATTTTAGTTTCCCATCTAAAGGAGGACATACACACTTTCAATATTTCAAAATTCAAATAACAAAGCCAGAAGGAAGGACAGGAGACACAGTGAAGATCAAAGAATAAGTTCAAATCTTGGCTGGAAGTTTCTGAAAATTCTCCTGCCTCCAATTCCAGATACTTTGTTCCTTCCTAACATTTCCTAGAAAATACAGGTTATGTGCTGAGTAAACTTTCATAGGCAAGTGAGCTTAGTTGTTTCTCCATGTAGTGAAAATACTAATAGGTTGAAATATTTTTTTTTTTTTTGAGACAGAGTCTCAAGCTGTTGCTCTCGGTAAAGTGCTGAAGTATCATAGCTCACAGCAACCTCAAACTTTTGTGCTTAAGCGATTCTCTCGCTTCAGCCTCCTAAGTAGCTGGGACCACAGGAACCCACCACAACACCTGGCTATTTTTTGGTCGTAGTTGTCATTATTGTTTGGCAGGCCTGGGCTAGATTTGAACCTGCCAGCTCTGGTGTATATGGTAGGCGCTCTAACTGTTGAGCTAGGCACCAAGAGGTGGAAATCTTAAAGTAAAAATGAATATGTTGATTGAGCAATTCCATTTCTAGGCGTCTATCCCAGAAAGACTCTTGAACATTTGCCCAAAAAGAGAAGGTCCATTGTTACATTATTTACAGTATTCAAACACTGAAAAATGCTGATTAGTAGGGGAACAATGAATAAAATGCAGTATATGCATAATGTGGAACACTGTACAGCAATTTTTATTAAAATAAAAACTTGACATATTGAATAAAGATGAATGACCTATGAGAACATAATATTGAGTGAAAAAAGTATATTGCAGAAAGACTTGCACAGTACACCATTTTGTGAATTAAAGACTCAAAACAGTACAATGTCATAACATATATATACTATGTATGTATATACACATATGTATATGTATGTATATCATCTTCATGCTGACAAAATTTGATTAAGTATATTAAAATATCATTGCTGACTATAATTTTCGAATGCATTTTAGTTTAAAGTCTATGTTCTTAAACAGAAAAACACCAAACTATTACAACAATTTCAGTTGCTATGGGCAGCACCATGGACAGCACTTTGGTCAGCACCATGGTCAGCACCATGGTCAGTCCTAAAGGGACAAGAGTTAGGTTTTTTTTTTTTTTTTTTTGAGACAGAGCCTCAAGCTGTCCCCCTGGGTAGAGTGCAGTGGCATCACAGCTCACAGCAACCTCCAACTCCTGGGCTCAAGCGAGTCTCCTGCCTCCGCCTCCCAAGTAGCTGGGACCACAGGCGCCCGCCACAACGCCCGGCTATTTTTTTGGTTGCAGCCATCATTGTTGTTTGGCGGGTCCGGGCTGGGGATTTGAACCCGCCACCTTAGGTGTACGTGGCTGGCGCCTTAGCCGGTTGAGCTATAGGCGCCGAGCCAAGAGTTAGGTTTTATACAGGATCAAAGAAGGGAAAGAAGGGGAAGAAGGTTTTCTTATTTTATGGCTAATAGCAACTTAGTATCAAAGACTAATAAAAAAAGTTTTATAAAAAAAAAAATAAGGTGTATCCAAAGCTCTGAATAAACTTAGACATCACAATGGAACTTCCTATAGTTGACCACCTCCTATATTGACCACCTCCTTAAGTGGACCTAATTTTTATAGACCAGACATGCACCACATGCATGTATCATATAGTAGGCCTAGTTCCTTATGTTGACCATTTCTGTCAACATAAGGAACCAGTTTGCTACAGTCCCTTGGGTGGTTGACTTATAGACAGTATAATGCTCAAAAAAGCACATGAATTGAACACCAGTCTTTAATTAATACTTAAAATATGACAATGCCAGATGGAGAAAAGATAGACTAAATTATTCTTCCAGAAGATTCCCTCAGACTAAAATCATTGCCCTGACTAGAAAGTCTCATTCTCATTCTAGAAACCTTGAGCACTCTTCCTTCAAACCACACCTCCTATCCTACCTTTGGCTATACCTCTACTTAGACTGAATCAGTTTTCTACCCTTATGGCCACATCGCCCATCTCACTTAGGCCCCCAAACCCTACCTTGCTTCAAGCTTACTCCATCTTTGTCCCCCTCGATCACTAAATCTGTCTAAAGATCTGACTTAATAATCAAGATAAGCATTTTGATGATTCAAGAAATATGTTTTATGGATTCGTTATGAATGTAGCAGAAGAATACTTTCATAACTAATCCACAAAACACATTTCTTGAATCATCAAAATTGATAACCTGGAATTTCCATACCTTTTCGCAACAGAAAATATCTACATTACAAGTTTTAGTGTTATAGCTCTTGTAGAATTTGTCTAGCAGTTCTTCCAGTTCTCACAGGACTGCCCCCTCCACGCTAAAAAAGAAAAAAAAGCCAAAAAAAAAAAACAGTTAAGTATACTCCTAGTCTTACATTTAGAAAAATTAATTTATGGAAATTAGAAACCTAAGCTACATTACAACTCCATTTGCTCATTATATTTAGTAAGTGTTCATATCTCCACAAAGAAAAAGCCAACTAATGATATGTGTAAGTTCCTTCTAACTCACAAAAAATCATAATTTGTCCGGTTCCTACTCTCCTTCCTCTTTACCAACTCCTCTTTTCAGATATCTCTACATACTATAGCACAGGTTAGTCATATGTTCCTGGCAAGTGCTCTAAGCTGAAGAACGATTCCAGATTAGAGAAATGAAACTAAGTGCAATACACGGAGTCTGATCCTGAACTGGATCTGTACTGAAGGGGAAATTGCTATACAGGAGATAACTGGTGCAATTAACAGAACTGGAAAAACAACTATAGATAAAAGCATCCATATTTAACTGTATCTTCGTCTAATTAGGTAGCTGAATTTGATTACTGTAAGAGCATATCTGTGATCACAGGAAATACACACTGAAGTATTAGAGGTAAAAAGGAATAATTTCTCTAACTTCATTTCAAATGGCTCAGAAAAGAAGTGTGTGTGTGCATGGAAACAGAGAGGAAGAGAGAATGATAAAAAATGACAACTGGTGAATCTAGGTAAAGGTAGTACACAAAAATTCTCTATTATTTGTTTAACCTTTCTATAAATATGAATTTTTCCTAAGTTTTAAAGATAGGCAAAAGAAAAAAAAAGCTGGCTTAATTAAACTGGTATTTTCTTTCCTTTCCCTAAAGTTGATATAAAATTATCTGACTAAAGAAGAGCCATACTTCATTTTCCCTACTTTACCATACTACCTAAAAGACGGTTTTTGCTTATTAGCTCTTTGTCTTATTAGCTCTTATGATCCACAAGCTGCTTAGCCTTTTATAACACCTACCCCCACCCCAGTCATAAATTGCCTTCCTTCCCCTTCCCTAATGGATTATAACGACTTCATAATACACTTGAGAAAAGACGTAAGGACATACGTACCACAAACTATGTCCTTCCTGTTCTGAGATGGAATCAGAATAGAATGAATGTTTAAGGTCTGATAACCAGTCACAGAAAATTGTACAGATCTCAATAACTGTGAGGAAAAGCACGCAGAAAATCTACTTTGGGTGACTAAAAAATAAACCTACCTTCTATTTCTTGCCCAATAGAAAGTCCAGCCCATTTTCGCTGTAAAATAAAAGAGGGGGAAAAAGATACTTAAAATCAAACCATCAAAATTAGAAAAAAAAGAAGAATTTCTATGAATTTCAGGAACACATTCAAAGGCTAAATCATGGTATACTGTTGTGTGCTTAATGTGTTCCTCCAAAGAATAAAGAATATTTTGAAGTCTTAGCCCCTGTGAATTAGACACTATTTAGGAACTGGGATTTTGCAAATGCATTCAGGTTAAGATTGACTAACTTAGCTGGGCGTGGTGGCTCACACCAGTAATCCTAACATTTTGGGAGGTTGAAGCAGGTGGATTGCTTGAGCTCAGGAGTTTGGGATCAGACTGAGCAAGACACCCCATCTCTACTAAAAATATAAAAATTAACCAAGGATTGTGGTGGGCGCCTGTAGTATCAGCTACTTGAGAGGCTGAGGCAAGAGAATCACTTAAGCCCAGGAGCTGGAGGTTGCTGTGAGCTATGATGCCACAGCACTCTACCCAGGGCAACAGCTTGAGGTTCTGTCTCAAAAAAAAAAAAAAAATATATCTTTACATACCTTATATAATTCCTAGATGTTTTTCTTCCATATGAATCTGTTATGGGGTGATGCTTGTTTAAAATAAATTGACTCTTCTACTTCTTTTAAGAATAGAAAAAAACAAATAAACATCTGAGTTACCTGAGGTAAGCTGAATGCAATGCTCCCTGGAACCACTGATGGATGAGTCCTCAGGGTAAACGTGTACCTATGATTGGGAGAGGTCCTCACAATCACGTGCCTAAATGACAGAAACACAGTCAGTACTCCATATCAAAGGCAATTATTAATTTCTAAATATGTGTCTTTCCAAACTGATGTTTGATGAGTATCAGGTGGAAACATGGCATCATATGAGTCTTAAAGGACAAGAACCAATATAGTTGCTAAAAACTGTCAGCAATTCAAAATATGTTCCAAACATAAGGAGCACCTTGGACCAAACACACAGTAAGCAGAATCCAGACAAGTTATCATGCTTTTCCTAAAAATGACTCTCTGGAAGTTACTAACCACTTAACAGGTTAAAGAAAAGAAAGTCAGACACTTACTGGCCAGACTGGAAGTCCTTTTCATTCACAACTGCACAGTTGGTTAAAGATAATTCATCTGTAGGACATCTTGCAGCTTGCATACTCTATAAGAACCAATGATTAGGAAAATAAAATTAAGTCATGTTATGTTAGTTTAAAGAATATTTTATGTCTTTCTGTCCTCTATTCTTCTTCACCATCAATGCTGTGATGAAGATCTATCATTTTTGACTCCCAGCCTTCCTTCCTCTGGGAAACCAAAGCATTCCCTTCCTTTGGGAAACTATTCCTTCCCTATTCCCTGTGGTTCCACCTGCCAAGCACAGCAGACAAGCAACCAGACACAGTCCTTTTTCGCCCAGAGGACTTTGTATCTACTGGCACGAGAAGAAAGGCCCTCTTCTTTGCCACACCACTGTGGAGGAAGACCTTTCCTGCTAAGACAATGAAACTGTCAGAGACACAGAAAACCAACAGATACCTGAAAACACAAGTTAAACCCTTGAGACCAATCCCAAACATGGGTTATAAGCCAATAAATTCTTTTTTGTTCAAGAGTTTTAAAATTGGTTTTCCATGTCTCAAGAAAAGAATATTGACTAATAAATACAATTAAGTAAATTCAGTAAATTTGATAAAGTGTATTGTGAAAAACTATATTTTTATAAGAGATCCTAAGTGGCTATGAACCATATCTCTTAGGGACTGAGAAAAACCATCTTCTAAATATCATTCAACAAAAATAATTACAGGATATATTTAAAATAAAAAAAAAACAGCAATTAGGCTTTTTGGCTAAGAACTACTAGCATAACATTCCTTCATATAATGTACTTAACACATAACCCCCTCCATCAGTCTCCAGTGCTTCCCAGTGAGCTAAGGCAGTCACGGTCATTGTCTGTTTATGACCGAAGTGCTCATTCTTCAAACCTCAAGCCAAAGCTGGTGATTCTTAAATTTGTCCCCCAAAAATAAATTTACAGAGGAAAACAATTACTTTTTTCTTTGCTTTTAACTAAAAGGCTAGTTTCATTAACATTATCCTAATTGTTTAGGGCAACAGTGATGAAAGTGAAATATGTACACTTAGTTAGTAAAATAATTCTTTGATGTGTAAGAAGAAAATATTAGTACTTCTATTTATATTTATTTTATACCAATTGTTGTTAAAGACACCCTAAGTGTATATTCTGCCAGGAGATATGAGCTAATAGCACTAACAAAGTCCTCGTAATCTGCCAGACTTTCAAGTATTCACAGAAAGAGATAAATTTCTGTAATTTCTCACTTGTGTTGAAAATCTTATTATTTAATCTATCACTTCACAAAGTATAAATGAAAGTTAGTACGTGTCAAAACTGCTAAGAGTTCCCTAAAAAGATCAGAAGCCATGGACCATGGTAAAAATGGCTAAAGTGATACACAGAAAACAAAACGATGACAAACTAAATAAATTCTTTTATTCAAAATACAGTCAAAGGCCCTTAGAAAACCCTGAAGAGGTGACGATATAAAGACAAACTACAGTGTGTGAAGTTTGCTATGATTAGATCAAAATACAAATGTTTCTTTCATCTCAGGGTATTTGCTGAGTTATTATGAAATACACCAAGAACTAAAATTTTATAGAATACTAAGGAACAGAAGACCAAAGAGGTTGTATTCTCAACTGTAAATGAAATAATGTGCTTTATGGGGAAACTGTAACCACTGATGGAATTACTGTTTTGACAATTTTTTTTTTAAAAATCCAAAATAAAGTTATAAAGATAGCACCTTATATAAAAGTTGTTCACTGCTTCATTCAAAGGTAGACTCCTAGTACAAGTTAGTCAGAACAAAGTACCTCAGGATGTCATTGAGGTTAATTTTATTAAAACAAGCCATTTAGTGTGGGCCTAGTGGCTCGCACCTATAATCCTAGCATGTGCGGAGGCTAAGGCAGGAGGATTGTGTGAAGTAAGGCAGGAGGATTATGTGACGTCAGGAGGTCAAGACCTATCGATACAAAAAAATAGAAAAATTAGCTGGGTGTGGTGGTGCACACCTGTAGTCGCAGCTACTCAGGAGGCTGAGATGGGGGATTGCTTGTGCCTAAAAGTTTCAGGTTGAAGTGAGCTATGAAGGATGCCAATACTTAAACCAGTAGTTCTCAACCTTCCTAATGCCACGGCCCTTGGGCGGCACCTGTGGCTCAAAGGAGTAGGGCACTGGCCACATATACCAGAGGTGGGGGGTTCAAACCCAGCCCCAGAAAAAAAAAAAAAAAAAAAGATTAAAACCTAATGCCATGGTCCTTTAATATAGTTCCTGTGGATTGTGACCCACAGGTTGAGAATCTCTGAAAAAATCTCAGGACCTTTATAACAAAAAGATCTTTCTATACTCTATAAAGAGATAGGAAGGGGCAGCACCTGTGGCTCAAGGAGTAGGGTCCCAGCCCCATATACCAGGGGTGGCAGGTTCAAGCCCAGCCCCGGCCAAAACTGCCAAAAATAAAAAAAAAAAAAAAAGAAGAAGAAGAAGAAGAGAGATAGGAAGGAGCCATCAAAATCTTTTTCTTTTGCCAGGGCGGTGGCTCACATCTATAATCCTAGCATTCTGGGAGGCAGAAGTGGGTGGATTGCTTGAGCTTAGGAGTTCAAGACCAGCCTGAACAAGAGCAAGACCTTGTTTCTATTAAAAACAGAAAAACTAGCTGGGCATTGTAGGCACCTGTGGTCCTAGCTACTTGGGAGGCTGAGGCAAGAAGACTGCTCAAGCCCAAGAGTTTGAGGTTGCCATGAGCTATGATGACACTATACTACTCTCCCAGGGTGACAGACTAAGACTCTCCCTCAAAAAGAAAAAACCTCAAAACAAAATCTTTTTCTTTCTTTAAATCATACGGAGACTAACTGGTATCCATAAGGTAAGTACACAAAAGATCTGTTAAACACAGAAAAGTCATAAAAAAGATTAGTGTTACAAACTTCCTAAATATTTCTGAAGAGGTTATAAGTAGCATTCTACCACAAAGATATTAAAAACAAAAACAAACCTCACTCTGCCCCTATTAATATGAAAATGTTTTAACAACATGTTACAATCTTTTTCTGCTTTTCCAGGGAAAAAAATATCTTGTTCTCATGAATAGAGCATTTCCAAATTGAATATTTGGAAATATTTCCATCACTTATTGAAAACAATGTGTATTATCTAAAAAACAAAGAAAAAATCCAAAAACTCATGTCTACATGTTTCAAAGAGTTAGAAACAAATTCTAACCTTAAAAAAAGAAAAAATCCAAATGGGGTGGTGCCTGTGGCTCAAAGGAGTTGGGTGCCAGCCCCATAGGCTGGAGGTAGTGGGTTCAAGCCCAGCCCTGGCCAAAAACTGCCAAAAAAAAAAAAAATCCAAATGAAGACTTTCAGTAACTTTCTTTTCTTTTCTTTTCTTTTTTTCTATAGAGACAGAGTCTCACTTTGTCACCCTTGGTAGAGTGTGCGGGGGTGTCACATAGCTCACAGCAACCTCCAACTCCTGGGCTTAAGCGATTCTCTTGCCTCAGCCTCCCGAGTAGCTAGGACTACCACCACAATGCCCGGCTATTTTTTGGTTGCAGTTCAGCCGGGGCCAGGTTTGAACCCTCCACCCTTGGTATATGGGGCTGGTACCCTACACTGAGCCACAGGCTTCGTCCTTTCAGTGACTTTTAAAAACCCTTTTATTGGCACTATTAAACTACAAAACATTTGGATTAATCTGTGAGAAAAACTAGTAGACAGATGGAAATTTACAGCCACAGCTCAATAAAAGGTTTTCATAAACAGCAGTTAAATTTTGGGGGAAAAAGAAGTATCATGATTTTGAAAGTACAGCTAAATTCCCCCATTTTCATCCATGGTTTGCCATTAAAGTCAAATATCAGGAGAGGCTGAGGTACGAAAACTGCTTGAGCCCATGACTTTGAGGTTATTGTGGGCTGTGACACCACAGCACTCTACCCAGGGCGACAGCTTGAGACTCTGTCTCAAAAAAAAAAAAAAAAAAAAAGTCAAATATCAAAATAAAATGCATTTGGAAACAGCCCTCTGAACAGTTGTATCACAAAATGTTAAATCAAGATTTTAAAGAATGATGATGTACTACTGCTTTGCTTTCCATATTAATAAATATTATGAGACTTATACACTTAATCTTTAGCTCATCCTTTGGGTACGCTTTACTATATGCAAATTACTTGTACTATCTATTATTTATATACAATATGGATATACATTGGGGGTACATAATCAAAACATTTTTTTTTTTTAGAGACAGAGTCTTACTTTGTTGCCCTCGATAGAGAGCTATGGCGTCACACAGCTCACAGCAACCTCCAGCTCTTGGGCTTAGGTAATTCTCTTGCCTCAGCCTCCTGAGTAGCTGGGACTGTAGGCTCCCACCACAATGCCTGACTATTTTTTATTGCAGTTTGGCCAGGGCCAGGTTTGAACCCGCCACCCTCCATATATGGAGCTGGCACCCTACTCACGAGACACAGGTACTACCCCCTAATTTTCTTTTACTTCTGGAATTCATGATCAAATGTTAGGAAATCACTAATTTAGCACATGGGACTAACAAAGTCTAGCACACATGTCCGCTTTCTGAATGAGACAGCATTTTGCCCAAGGTCACAGCTTGACCAGCGATCTGACAAAAATGTACTCAACTTTTTTGGTTTCCTATGTTCCCAGGGTCTCTTTCACCTGCAACCTTCTTTATATTCTCTCTCTCTTAACTCTGTACCCCTTGCCTGGCCAACTCCTACTCATTTGCAAATCTCAGCTTAGACATTACTTCTCCTATGAGGCCTTTCTGATTCCTACCCCTCTCCATTAAGCTGATAAAACAAATTTCTAATGGAAGCCCCTGAGTACATTTTTACTGTCTGTTTACACGTTTGCACTGCATATCAGACATTGAGCTTCTCAAGGATTCAGACTTGCTCATGCCCATAGCTGCCAGGGTTTAGCACAAGGGCCCAGCACACATTTGTTGAACATAAAAACTTACAGATCAATATCAATTTGTCTCAGCTGCAGAATGAACAATTCAAAAAACACGTACACAAAAA